AAGTGATACAAGATATAATTAACTTGATGAATTTAGGGGGGAATTGGAAGTATAGAAGTGTCCTATATATAAATGACCATTCTAACTTATCAAAGGCTTTTTCTAGATCTATTTTAATTAATATTTTACCAATATTTCCTTTCATTTTTTTTTTGAAATTATGAATAAGTTCTTGAATAATAATAGCATTGTCACTGGCCCGTCTTTTTTTTTTTTTTTTTTATGAAGCTAGCTTGAGCAGGACTTATAAGAATATCCATTAGAGGTTTAAGCCTATTTGCAATTATTTCTGTAATAACCTTATAGATAGTATTGCAAAGACTAATTGGACGAAAATTATTAAGGTTGTTGGCATTAGGGAATTAGGGGATTAAGCATAGATAGGTTGAATTAATTTCCGGAGGGATAGTATTCTCTTTAAAAACTTTATGACAAAAGTCCCTAACAGAGGTACCTAAAGTTTTCCAATATTTTTGATAAAAAAAGGGTGAAACTCAACTGGCCCTGGTGATTTAAAGGGCTTAAAGGAAAAGATAGCTATATCAATTTCACAATCTTGAATAGGCTTATCTAATGAAGTAAGATCGGTGTTATCAAAACTAGTAGGACTTTACAATATATTAGAACAATTTGTAACTTTATGACTAGTGGTGAATATAGTGTTAAAATGGTCAAAGGTATGGTTTAGGATATTTTGATGGTTATTCATCCACGCATCTTCACTATTTTGAAGAAACTAATATGGTTTTGACGTTTTCTATTTGAGGTAGATATTTGAAAGAACCTAGTATTGACATCACCCTTGTTAAGCCAGTTAATTCGAGATCTCATCTTCTAATAATCCTCTTCTAATTTAAGAATATTGTTATAATCTTTGATGAGATCCTCCTTTAGGCTTTGTAAAAAAGGGCTATGGATATAATGAGGAGAATTTTGGATACCTTTTAGTCTTGCCAAGAGTTTATTTTTATTCCTAGTAATATTACCAAAATTTTTCCTACCCCATACTTTAATAAAGTCAGTGAAGGATTCACTAGCTTCCAGCAGTGCTTTATTTCTCCATTGGGAGGCAATTATGTTTCCAAAATTTGGGTGGGTACACCATATATTTTCAGTCGGAAAACCTTGTTATTAGGGGGGTGATGGTTATTTAATTTAACTAGAATTGGTTTGTGGTCCGAGTGAGTTTTTGGAAGATGGGTGATAGAAACATTTGGAAATTTGTTTAACCAATTTTTGTTTACTAATACACGATCTAATCTTTCTATTATTAGTCCTTTCCTTTTCCTATGATTTGACCACGTGAATTTGCTTCCTTTGAAGCCTGGATCAATTAGTTTATAATAGTCGATATTTTTCCAAAGTTTTGAAGCTCTAGATATATTCATGGGCCTACCTCCTATTTTTTCGTTACTACTAATATCATTAAGGTACCCCTAATAACCAAGGACCTTTATAAGTATTTGAGATTGATTTAAGGTTGACCCACATAATATCACGATAGTGGCTTTTTGTAAGAGGCGGCTCAACCTCAAGGCTACTAAAGCCAAGGCTTTAGGCCCCCAAAAATATAGGGCCGCAAATTTTACTCATATTATATATATGATAAGTATACTTTAAACAATTACTTCTATAATGATAAGAAAATCATGTGATCAACCATTTGCTATGTCAATAATTGTTATGAAATAGTTCCAAGCATTATGCTATTTTTCATGGAGAAATAGCATTAACAATATTTTTCTCCAAAGGCCTCTAATAATGGTTTAGCTTTAGGACCCTTACTCCACCGAGCCGCCACTGCTTTTTGTGCTAGCATAAATTGCAGTAAATAGCCAATTAAAATTAAAAGGTCATACCTAAATAAGGGCATGAATATCCTGGCCATTTTTAGTGAAATGCTCAACAGTCACGACATTATGATTGTAGAGAATGGCCATGCCTCTAGCTTGACCTTCCGCAGGAACTTCTATAAGTTCAGAGAAATTGAATTCATTTAGGAGAGGTGCATGCACCATCATCCTGGTCTCAAGGAGGGCCACCATGCACGACCTATGAGTATCAAGTAAGTCCCTAAAGTTACGACGAAAGTCGTCATTGTTAGCACCTCTAACGTACCAAAAGATTATAGTAGTGGCTCTTATCAGGAGTGCTTGTTGATGGTTGACACTTGACTCCCTCTCCACTGTATTGTGGCTCCTCCTTCTTGATAGAACTAGGATTACGGCTTACTTTCCTACTGTGGGATCTTGTGGTAGTTGAATATACGTTGAGCATTTGTACATGGCACTCGGACAGCTGAATATATATTTCTTGCTCCATAATTCTGGGAAGAGAAGTATTTTTACCTCATTTAGGCTTGAAAATTCCACACTCAGTTGAGTACCTTATTGAAGGGGTTCTTCTTCTTCCTCTACCGGAGGTTGTGGTGGATTCATATTTGGTCCTGGCACATTGACTTGGTTGGGCTCCAGGTTTACTGGGCCATATTTGGGAGGATGTTTGGTTCCTGATGTGCTTGGTGATTCCAAGGCATGAAAATATGATTGATGTTTATGCTCTCCTCCGATGGAAAGAATGGCAGGTTCATTGGGAGGTTGATGAATTGGTTGGGAGTCTGTGGTAGATTCCACTGCTCCTGCATGGCTTGAATCAGAGTGTAGTTCATATGGGGAGCTAGGGGTGGAGGATGTTGTTGATCCAGGCTTGATTTGTCTAGTTGTTCATGGCTATGTGCATACCCTTCGTTATTAGCTGGGCTAGGTAGCGAGTGTTTTGGAATATGATGACCATCTCTTGCCCATTGATCTGAATATTAAAGGTTATTGCATGACCCAGAATGCCTGCTTCCAGCCAAGATGTTGGTTAGTAGTTTTATGTAGTTGTGGAGGTGATGTGAAGAATAGAGGTTGATTTGGGAAGTGGTGTGGCATAGGAGGTAGATTGTCCATCGTAGCTATCCTGTGATGGTTTGGAATGTGGACAAGGCGAAATCTTCTCCTTGTTAGTAGTGGAAGCCTTGGAATCCTCTTCTTGTGGTAGTATTAGGGTGAGTAGGTTTAATGATCTCTATGAAAATTTTAGTCTGCCCGGAAAATTCATGACTTGGCGTGTGGGGATAAATAAGATCCTGGGTGATTTGGATGTTGCCAGGTGCTTTGAGGATTCTTCCATTTGGCAATCCTCTTTTGCATGCAAGTCCACGTGTAAATTGGACGAACTGGGAGAGAGGGTTTTGTTGGGGGTAATATGTATATTAGGATTAGTTAATTCCTCTAAAATAGGGGTAGCCGGGTACTCTATTTTTTTTGTTTTTTGTAGAAGGTTCATCTAATGATTGGGTGGTGGTACCAATTCTTCTTTAGCTTCCTCCGCGTGTAATTTTCTTTGCATGCAATGGGTGCTAGGGATTTTTGGCGGATTTGTTGTTGAGCTAATTTCGAAAACAATGGGCTCACTTTCTAACATCTAAAAAAAGATTAGTGGATTTTATACCAACATTTAAGGAAGATGGATTAGTATTGGTGTTACTATCAGATGAATGTCTGGCCTTTGTGTCAAGAGAGAGTGAAGCAGGTGGATTTTTTTCCATATATTTAAACTTTTGAGGATTAAACTTTTGGGAATTAAAAGACATACCTTTGTCCAGATTAGTGAACTTTGATCTTTTACGTGGATTGGGTACCCTTGCTATTGGGATTGCCTTTGAGCCTGCATGCTTTTTCTTGTTGAATGTGATAGTCACCCAATCACTTTGGACTCCTTGTTGTATAGAAGTGTCCTGATTTTAATTTTCTGTTGCTTTTGGAAATTTGAATTTTGTAGAGTGACCGAGCATTGTGATTTGTTGTGACCTAGCCTGCCACAGTTTTTGCATAGGAAATTTTCACCTTCATAGTGAATTTGTTTCTTATAATTTTCAATGTATACAAATGGTTTAACTAGCAATTCCATAGAGACTTCCACGCATAGTCTAGCATATCGACCTCAGGTAGAGGAGGTACACGCATCAATTCTAAGTAATTTGCCTATTTTATTGCCAATCTTTTGTAGTATGGTAGAGTCATAAAACTCAGTAGGAAGTTCAGGAAGAAGAACCTATGCTGCAGATTTAAGTTGTTTGGCTTCACTAGCTACGAAGTGAGGCTCCCATTTTTGAACCAAAAGGTGAAAATCATTAATAAACCAAGGCCCGTTACATAGAAATTTGGCCATATTTTCCTCCTTGGTGAATTTCACTATGAAGTAATCAACTCCAAGATCCATAAGGTTAAAGTTTTCGGAGGTTTCCATAATTGATAAATTTTCTTTTTAAGTATTGATGGAGGACTCGTTATCCCATTAGCTTGATTATAAGTGAGTATTTCCAAGGTTGGTATATCCTTTGGAGGTCATCCACTGATAAGTGGATTTGTAGGCTTTCATTGATGCCTTGAATTTTTTGAGAGCAACTATTTAGGTTGGATAAATCTTGTACTGGGCAATCAAGTTGCATGAATGAGTCGTTAGATGTAGATGGACCTAGGGGGGTTTGGAGATGTGCTTGTTGGTAGAATCCAGAAGGAAAATCTCTTTGAATGATGAAGTGGAGGGTTGAAGTGTATGGGTTGAATTAGGAGTAGAAGAATTATTACCTTCACGCGCACGATTGATATATGGTGGATTAGGGGGGATTTGAAGGAATTGGTGGGTAGTTTGAAGAAGGTTTACCGTTGTTGCTTGAGGAGAGTAGTGAGAAGGCAGACCTTCTCACTCTAAACTCTAGTTAAAGTCAAAAGTTAAATTACATGCACTACAGGAAGGTATGCCTACGACGACATTTAGTTAATGACATGTATAATAAATGTCGGAAAAAATTGATTTATTGACATTTTCTTAAGAAATGTCGTAAATTTAATGACATTTGATAAAAAATGTCAAAATTATTAGGACTTTTAATACAAATGTCGCTATATTAGTAGGTATTTAGTGACATATACAAACAAATGGAGGAAATTTCTTACATTTGTAGTTTTTAAGTTTAATTAAACGAAAGTAAAAAATATGAGACCCGCCTAACTTCTTCTTTCAGAAAAGAAGTATAGCGTTAGTCTCTTAGAAACCCTAGCAATCTCTCCCCTTTCCTCACCCCAAAACACTGATGTTGCGCGAGATGCAGTCTCTGCATCAAGTTTCACAAGATTCTCAATCATTTAACTGTTATCGTTGTTAAGCCACACCAGACAATATGGAATTTCTCTTTGAACTTGCTTCATAGCGCTCGATTAGCAGATAAGTGATTCTCGCCGTGTCGTAGAGAATCAGAAGGGACATAACCAGGCTGGAGGAAATCCAAAGGAGACACGATTTTTAGATTTTGGGTAAGTGCTTACCCGTGGTTTCGTTCTATTTGTTCACGCGACTGAATTTCTAATTAAATGCGTTTGAAATGGTTGTGCCTTTTCTTTTATTATGATGTATTGAGGATTTTGGTTCTTGTTATGTTCATTTATCTTTGGAGTAGGCAAATTCTCTAGATATAAAAAGCATTCTACTGTTGGTGTTGTGGAGAAATTGTTTGAGAGGGATCTGTACTTGTCGAAAGGTACTGTTTATACGGATTTATTTTAGTGCAGTTCAACCAACATCAAACTTAAAATTGACATCGCATTATCATTTTGATACATAGGTGTTAGGAGTGTGTAACATATAAGCTTTTTTAACTGTTTCATTTAATTGGCTACATCTGTTGATCAAAGTTCAGATGAAGTAGTTTGGTTTCCTTTCATTTGACCATATGTCTTTGTAGAATTTCATGAGGACTCGGAGCACTTTTAATTTTTGTCTTCCTGCAGAAATTTTTACTATTGGTTTCAGCTCATTTACGAAACTTATTACTGATTGGAATTATCTTTCAGTTGTTCTGATCATAGTGTGTAAGCTTGTGAAGTTTGGTTGAGTAGCTGGTTCCAAATTGATCTTCCATCTAAAAGAAATTGGTGATGGTCTGCAAATGGCAAGAGACTTCTATTTTGGAAGTATTGTCGTTGATTATAGGTAAGATGGCTTTGCTAGTTTATAGCATTTTTACTTCTGCTTAAAATTGAAAATTACGTAGAAAACTTATGTTTGAGCTCAACTATATTTTGGTAATTCAGTGAAGTTACTCGGAAGGATTTGGGTTGTTGATTGCCTACCAGATGGAAATTGTGTCATCTTTACGAGGTGCTTTGCTATTCACTTGAGATAATTTATGTATTATCCTTGTTTTGACAATCTTTATTCGCCTCTGTAGTAAACCTGATTTACCAATTGTATATTTTGGTGCTTTTATATGTTTTAAGATTTGAGAGAATAATTCAAAAATTAAGTATTGAAAGTTAATACTGGTTAATTATGTGAAAAACGTTATTGCTGACAAGTAGTTAGTTTTAGTGTATGTTATGGAGTCACAGTGAGAAAGTCGAGAGTCTGGCATCTTATAGTAAGGCCCTGGTAGATTTATGGGCAAAGAACATTATTTTTTGTTAAAGTATTTTATTTTCTACTCATGAGTCATGACCATTCATGTACATTGAGTTGGAAGATAAGTTATGGAGTATTCAATTGGTTGTGTCTACTGGATAAAAAGAAGATGCTTGTAAAAAAGCTGAACTGTTAATAATATTCACTGTATGAACATACTTGTGTACTATATGAGGTTTAGTATTGACTTTTAACTACTTTCTAATTCATCTCTTTTGCATTTCATAAAAATACAGGTTGCTACATCAGTCACTTCTGCACTAAAGAGGCTACCAAAGACAGATACACAATTGAATTGGAGAGGAAGCTACATATATAAGGAAGTGCAGAAAGAGTGAAAGAGGAATTGAAGAAGTGAAAAGATCTCTTGTTGTTCCAAACAGTTATATTTTGCTTCAATGACAAATAACTTTTTCATGACTTTTTTTTTATTGTAAAGACTACAATTTTTTTTCAATGGAATTAATTTTCGAGAACTTTCATATTCAATATATATGATTCTAGTTTATGATTTCTATGGTCAATGAAATTTGTAGGTATATTTCTTGAATTTGGATGGTATGTAAACATTAAAAGAACCACTGTCGCAAACATTAAGCTAAAAACTCATAATAACGACATTTGATAGGAGACGCAAAGAAATGTCACTATTTGTTTGCGACTTTAACCTATGCGTTGGGAATTTTAATGTGACATTTTCACAAATGTCGATAAATAAATGTCGCAAAACTTTTACGGACATTTATTTAATTGTCGAAAAATTCCCGACATTGAAATTTCCGACATTTACCCTAAGTGTAAAATAAATGTTGATTAATAATTTTGTGACATTTATGTAGCTTAATACGACATTTATAAAGTGTCGTCGTATGTCTACTTTCTTGTAGTGATGTCACCATTCATAATAGTGGGATCAATAACTTGAAAAATAAGGAGAATACCTACTGCCACATGTTACAATACACTTGTTAGTGTAGAACTTCTTTAAATTGCATCAATAAATCCTTCTAATTATGTGAAACTGTTCTGTTTTAAACACGGTAAACGTATGATATCTCTTCCAATAATTTACTTCTCATTGCCATTTTTTTGCTTATCATAACAATTCTCGGAAAATTTGACCTTAATCTCAAGCAGTGCTGGCAATGGATATATATATATCATGGGAATATCAACATCTTACATTAATGCAAGTACAAGAAAGGAGGGGGGGGGGGGAGGGGGGGG